AAATGAAGTCACTGTCAACACTTAAAAGGCAGCTGTTTCCAGACCCTTAAAAAGTCACAGCAGTGAAGACAACCATGCTACCAAGGCCGGCAGGTTCTGGAGTAGAGAAGCCGTGCACCCTTATCTGCCGTGGGTACTTCACTGGGGAAAAGAAATACAATAAAAAATGCCACCTAATCTTGAGACATCTAAAATGGCAAAAGCAGCACAGAAAGCATATTCTCAGCATTAAGTGGACACCCAAGAAGTACTGGAGGAATTCAGGCATCAAGGGCTGTAACCAGCCAGGTTTCTGCAGGTGAAGGGACTTAGGGTGGCTTTGAAGAAACTAGAGCTTTGATAAGGGGACTTGGGTGGGGAGGACACAACATTTGGGAGGTGGTGTTGACAAAGGAGGCATTTGCATTGACAAACAGCTAAGACAAGCTCTGCAGAGGGTGTAGGTAAGAGGTATGGCCAGGGAGGTTAGTGTTGGCAGAAGACTTACTGATTACATACTACATTCCAGGAACTATACTTTTACAGGTGAATTCATTCATTTGGATCTATGGTACATGAAAGTCACTGAAGAGAGGAAAATACATGCTGCACTTTAGGAAGAGTCATCTGGTGGGTAGCTGGATCAGCAAGGGAGCAGATTAGAGGCTGGGAGATGATTTAAGAGGCCACTACAGTAATACAGGTCAGGGGTAAGAACCTGGATTAGTGATGACAATGGAAATGAGAGTAAGAAAAAAATAATAGTGTTTGGTGATGATGGGATGTTTAAGAAAGGGAAGTGTCAAAAGCAGTATAGCTAAAATTTAGGTGACCGAGAGAATATAAAGTATAACCATTACTGGCTATGAGTAGGAAAGTAGTTAAAAGTTTAGTAAAGCTTTTTCCTAGTAAGGGTATGTCAGATAAACTAAATCTAAACCAAGCACTGAACTTTCAGAGAAAGGGACCTATCTTCAAAAGATGTCTTTTCTAGTCTTAAATACCACTAGGGAAGTAGATATTTTTGATCAGATGACACGCGATTTAGAAAAGCTTTTTGTAGAGACTCAATAGTGTGGAACATATGGGACTTTCATACACTTCGTCTTGTCTTTAGCTATCCCATCTGTGAGGTAAATGTACCCAATTTTAGACATCCTAAAGAAGATAAGATTACATCACTCTTTCTAATCTTTTCCTCCATCAGAAAATTCATTTTATCATTAATTCATTAGCAAGTTTCACATGCTAATTGTTTTTTTTGCACTGACTTGTATATAAAGAAATTCATTCTGCTCTAGTTAAAAATTGTGCAAATGACACTGGTAGTTAACAGCTGACTGGTAGAAATAGGGATAAATATAAGCAGAATGCAAGTAGTTTATTTCTACTTTCGGTAAACACCAGTATTTCCTAAGGATTAATCTGGAGCCAATTTCAGGCAGGGACCTGTAATTTTTTTTTTTTTTTTTGATAACACCCAAGTGAGCAGTCATATTGTGGTAAAAATGGGAGACTGTCAAAGCCACATGTGCTACCCTTATGTAGGAAAGTGTCGTGCCCATGGGTGGAACCAGGGCTCATCAAGGATTCCTTAGGTATGCTGCACTAGAACTAGATTTCTATAAATTGCATCAGTAATATTTAAAATGCATAGAGGTTACCACCTAAAGAAAACAGTAATTTGGAAAAACGACAATCCTTTATCTGAAATCCAACAAAATTTTCTTGAAAGATCAAGGTTTTGTCTCCATGGACTGTTTTCTAAATTATAAGGCTAATAGACAATCCCATCTTCTGCAAATTGCCTGTTCGCAGTCTTTCTTCTTCTCATTTACTGCTGTCCTAGATAGACTACATGTATTTCACGTAGGACATCAGCAATGAGTCATGCATCAGTCACTGGCACACCTAGCTATTGGATCATTAGTATTTTTTCCTGAGGGCTTGAAATTCTGAAGTGCTCATTCTGGTAGTCATTCCTGCTTTAGACGCAAATTTCTTCTGTAAACAGGCTCTCTGGATCTATCAATCTGCCTTTACAATACAATTTGTTTCAGGATGACAGGCTCCTGTGCAACTGCCTAAGCATGTGGATGCTCACAGTACTGATGGAAGTGGGCGTGGGGTTGGGCCCATCATGGCTTTCAGCATCAGAAGCCCTTTTCTGCTAGCTGCCGCTTGTTCCTGTAGTCTAGGGTGGCAAAGAAATATACAGCTATCATGGGATGGAAATAACCCAAAAGTCCTTCAACCAGTGAACACATAAACTGTGGTACATCCAAAAAATGGAATACTGCTCAGCAATGAAAAGCACAGATACATGCAGCAATATGGATTACTCTCCAATGCATTTTGCTAAGCCACACCCCAAATGCTCCATTTCATTCCATATTGCATTCTGGGAAAGGCGAAAGTGTAGGCACTGCAGACAGATCAGTGGCTGTCACAGATTGGGGCTGGGAGGAGGTATGGACTACATAGGGAAAGTCATCAGAGTTTCTTTGGGATAGCGGAACTGTTTCGTATTCTTGATTGTGGTGGTGGTTACATGACTCTGTGCATATGACAAAAGCTAGAATGATACACCAAAAAAAGTGAATTTTACTATAGACAAATTAAAAAATAAACATGTAAGACAGCAGCTTCCCCTGGGGTGGGAGGAGTGACCAGGAAGAAGCTAAGAAGTTCACCTGGGGTGTCAGTCATGCTCTGCTTCATGATTACATAAGGTGATGTGTACCTGGAAAGTATTAAGGTATATGTACACTTATGCATATCCATACATTTTACACAGATATGTTACACATCAGTAAAAAGTTACCTGATCACCATTTCTGTTCATAATGCTGTTTACCAGACTAGGATTTATTGTTTTGCCATCTTTTAGGTAACCATATTTGGGGTGAAGTGGAGAAAGAGCCAGTGGTGGAAAGTGTAAGCAGTGACTATTTCTAGTCAAATGAAATAAAAGATAAAATATTTTATCTGGGTGATTTAAGTAACATTTTCCACATGATTATTTTAGGCCTGTTTTGAGACTCTCTTAATGTTCTGGAGAACTGCTAGGAACTGCTGGGTCTAGGACCATGCACAATGGAGGATGGCTTATGAAACCTCGATGCTTTCCAGTTCCATGTTTGAGACTGAGTTATGGTGGGCCACAACTCACAACACCTTTGACAAAAAATAGGGATCCTGTGAAGACAACGGCAAACATGATTATAGAGACTGAAATGTAAATACTTTAAATTCTGTCGAAGGAAATTTCCCTATGAAGAATGGTAGACAATATTCTGAGTCTTCCACGGTCAATCATAAACACACCACTTAGGGGAAGAACACACATTAAGTTTCAAGTATCAGATGGTATGACTGCGTTTTGTATATAACTCTTTATTTAGCCCTTACAACACTCCTGCAAGGTAGTCATTCAAATCCCATTGAAAACATGGCAAAATTGAGGGTCAGGTTAATCCTCACAAGAGAAGCTGGAACAATTCTAAGCTTCTGATTCCAAAGAAAAAGGGAATTAGCTTTTAGAATGTTCTATGTGCTAGTTCCCTTCATCTGTAATCTGATTCTCAAGTTATCTCCATTTTACAGATAAGTAAACAGTAAGAGGGATTATGTGACTTGCTCAAAGTTATGTAAGTGGCAGAGTGGCATTCAAATCAAGCTCTGATTCCACAGCCCACATTCTTCACATCAGAGTGCACTGCTGCCAAAGTCAGTGAGCAGTATACTGTGCAATTCTGGAGGCAGATAAATGCAATCTTAGACTCAACTACCAGATGCTCTAAACTTGGGTCAGCACAGTGACTCTCATGTTTTTCCCTGGTATCTTTCAAAATGCAACTTCATTGTAATATCATAAATGTACCAATATTTATAACATAAGTAATTCAAACCTTCAGGGACTGAATAACCCACAAATTCCAGCTCCTAGAATGGGAGGAAAAGGAATTTGTATGGTAGGAAAACCATTTTCTAGGAGTCAGGAGTTAAAGGTTCTAATCCTGGCTCTGTCTCTGATTTGCAGTGTAGCTTAAGACATAGGGATCTTTAGGCTTCTATTTTATCACATGTAAATTAAGAGTGTTCAAGGCAGAGAATCTTAGAAGGTAACTGCTCTACTATCTTAGAAAACAAATTTTACTCATTGCCAAAGTTCCTGAATTGCCATCTTTGGAGCTGAAATACTATGTAGTGTTTAGCAAGTTATTTGTTAACCAGAGTGTATGTTTTGCTGGAATGAGCTCTGCAGGCTTGCTTCCATTATTTATTAAGAGCCCTAGGTAGTCATAGAACAGCAAAGCAACCAGATAGGTCCAGCCACATTTAAGAGACATTTTTCTTTTTGCCAGCTTGAGAATATGAAGAGGTATATTAAAAATAGAGACTTTACAAAACATTTGAAACTGTGTATTATTCTCTGGACATTACAATAACGGACTACTTTCTAACAAATACTGTTTCATTTCTGGTTCTAAAGGGTTCTTTCTTTGCATGACATTGTGACAGGCCTAGGCTGACTTGTTTCCCACAAACAGTCTTTTCAGCTGTGATGGGAGTGACTTGTTCTATGGGTCTGTCCTTACTGGTTGTATGACTTTGGGCAAAGATTTTCACATAAGACTCTCCTTATTTGTAAAGGATTGCTAAAATGATAATTTAAGTTATAGTTCTTTACACAGTAGGAACTGAAAAATGAGGCAGCAAAGTGTATTGAAAAGAATGTAGACTTGGGGAAGAGAGGCTTGGATCCAAATACTAAGCACTGCCACTTATTAGCTAAGTCATCTTGGGCAAGCAATTTAATGTAAACCTTACAGTGTAGCTAATAACACCACCTTCTCGTTCTCCCTTTTTAAATTCTCACTTTTTAAATTAAGAGGTAGGATACTAAAGTGGCTATTGCATAATACTCAGCAATTATAAATTTCATTATTGCTGGTCCTATACAATCTAGAAACCTGCACAATCATATATTCTTACAAAAATATCACTTATCAAGAACATCCAGAAAACAATCTTACAAAGATTTTAATACATAAATGACATCCTTTTATAACCGCTTGATATTTTACGACATGTGACTATTTGGCAAATACTTCAAAATAGCTTATGCTGGGGTCTTGTAAGACAATTTCTGAAGCTCTTGAGATTTTACAGATTTCTTCTAGTATGTTTATGTCTGGTTAACAATCTACAATATTTAGTATAACAGCAATTGTGTGTGTGTGTGTATTTCAATGTGTTAACATATTCTGTTGCCTAATGGCTCCTGAATTCATTTATAAATTACATGATGCTTCAAATTGTTTCAAGAATTTGTTAGCTTATAAAATATTTTTTTCTTTCAAAATTCAAGACACATTTAACATATGAGTTTTACAATACAGTTTATTAGCTGTTCTCCTCTTCTTCATAAATGGAATGGATAACGTTGATAATTCTTTACAAACCAGTACTCATTTAAGAAACTGTAATGAAGAGGTTGTCATAACACGTATTTAATAAACAACTCCAAAGAGCAATGGGAAGCCAAATATTATTAATATAAAGGACCAGAGAAATTGATTTCTGAAATCATTTCTACCTTTCACTAAGATTTCCTAAAATTGCTCACCATGAAGATCTGTGCAATGCTACTGCAGAGCAGCGGATGAAAGGTGTCCGAGGGGAACACACACACATAAATGGGGCTTCTGCCTGCCTTCCTATTAATAAAAGGAGAACTAGAAGGAAAGGGCAAGGACCAAAATCAAACCTGATGACAAGGACAACAGTAACAATAACAACAAAAAACCCCAGGAACCATTTGAAAACTTTTGCAGGAAAGAGGAGAATATGCCCGTACTTTTACTTATAATCTAATTTCCCTAAATGTTTCTCCTCACGACCGCCATGCTCCCATTTTCAGTTCACATGATTAAGGAAGATAAGTCTATTCAATTAATATTTAATTTAAAAACCAAACAAAAAGTTAGGAGTAGGTGGTAAAAGAAACAAAATATATTTTAAATATATATATATATATGTGTGTGTGTGCAACTATGTAAAGACAATAATTCCCATAGTTACAGAGTTTAAAGAAAGGTTTATATATATATTTATATATATTTTATTATAACAAAATAGGCAGCTATTGTGGGTAAAATATTCAGTAAAATCTGACTCCTAAGAATACATTTTACATTTTAGGCTATGAATTGGACTCCTTTTCCATTGCCATTATGGTTACAACATCACCACTGTTTCGTCTGTATTTATATCTAGGAAATTTTCTCAACCTTCTGTGTAAAAGGTAAACTTCCTTAGCACCTGAACATGGCCTCAATTCAGAAAATGTGATGATCATTACGTATGAACAACTTCTGTAAGACACGACAGTGTTGCTCAAGTAGATGAAAAACATTTACATGTTATTATTCCTAGCAGATGTACTGGGAAAAAAGAACCCTCAAATAATAAAGACTTTAAGAACTCTTAGGAAAAATGAAATCCCTTATGAAAGTTAACTCAGACATTAATTTTGAAATTAAAAATCATGTCTTCCTTATTTGTCTAAAATGAAACAACTGCTTTGATGACAGAAGTTGAGAAAAGGACTTGAGAATACTACATTGGCCAAACCATGCTATTAAACTTAAGCGTGCATAGTTGCTCAAAGTCTACTAAAAATCACTGATTAAAACCACTTTTTCATTTGTACTGAAATTTGAAAAGAATGTATATAAAGCTTTTCAGAAAATCTCTTAAAGTTACTTTCCCTTAAACATTAAGGAATTTTACCACAATTTCTGCGTCTCCCCAAATTCTTAATAGCTGATCAGGCCATTCCATCTTCAGTTCTGAAAAATGGCCACTAACCAATAGTGACATTAAATAATACACATGATATAATTTGAAGGAGACACTACATGTAAAAAATAAGCGCAACTGCAGACCATAACGTGTGGGATATAATTCACCATGAAGTAAGTGTTGAAGAAAGACTCCGGAGGAAAGGGCAAAGAGATGTCAAAGAAAATGGAATTGTGGAAAAGAGAAATAGAGAAACATCAGTTTTCATAACTTTTCTTTTGCTGGTACCCAGATGTAAGAACCAGACTGTTCTTCTATGATCTGCTTCACTTGGTTGTAAATGTCTTCCAGCGTATCTCCCTGTACAATAGCTGTAATGATAAAAACAAAATCAGAAATCTCCGTTAATTGTCTATTTTTGTCATTACAATTATTGGTGAACTAGTAGAAGCTATTATTTTTGAAAAGTTACTCATGCAGGAAGAATCACCATTTATGCAGTTTGCTGAAAAAAAAAAAAAAAAAAAAAAAAAAATTTAAAAAAAAAAAAAAAAAAAAAAAAAAAAAAAAAAACCAAAAACACCTCACTTCATTAATTTTCCTATTTGTATAGTATAAAATTTTTATCTTGAAAATGGATCACAAAGCAAGACTTGGTAACCTTTTCTTTTGTTCTTTTACCAACTGAGCACATATTAGTTTTATTCTTTTAAAACAAATTATTTTCTTAACTTTCCTGATTTCTCCATAAATGTAGAAAAAAGGAGACTGGGTACAATCCCACAGAGAGGATGATGTGGATACGTTTTTATTTTTGGGTAGGATCGTAGGGAAAACAGCTGATTACAGATTGACACTACTTTCTTCAGTATGCTAGCATGTCAGGTACTGTAGTGTAGGTGAACTGAGATATATAAGCTGGCTTGTTAGTGGTTAGAGACTTAACAATCAATGTTTATTTGCCGCCTGAAATAATGTATGAAAAAACGAGTAACAATTACTAACAACTAAGTCTTTGGAAACAGCTGAAGCCCTTGATGTCTGTGAGGGACGAGGATCAATTTAAGGAAAACAAAGGAACAAACAAAATACACAAAGTATTACTAGACAACACTAAGCACGAGTAACTTTTTAAGAAGAAAGAAAATGTTTATGGTTGGGCATGGTGGCTCAGGCCTGCAACCCCAGCACTTTGGGAGGCTGAAGTGGGAGGGTTGCTTTAGGCCAGGAGTTTGAGATCAGCCTGGGCAACATAGTGAGACCCTGTGTTTAAAAAAAGAAAAAAAAAGTTAGCTGGGCATGGTGGTGTGTGCCTGTCCTTTTGGCTACTTGGGAGGCTGAGACAGCAGGAAGATGTATTGAGCCCAGGAGTTCACATTTGCAGTGAGCTATGACTGTACCAGTGGATCGTACCATTTGCCTGGGTGATAAAATCAGACCTCATCTCTCATAAAAAAGTTTACATATAAATGAAATAGTTCAGAATTGCAAGTTAAGTAAGTTACTTATTAAACTACAAAAAGATGTCCAGTGATTTGGAAGCACATCATAGATGTAGATTTCCATAGTCTGGAGCATAAAATGTCAAAGAGAGATTTTAAATAACACTGTCTATTTGGTGCCTGAGATTATGTTCATAGAAGAAAGAAGTTGTATGTAGGCAGGAAGGGCTTATAACATATGTAGCTAAGAATGCTCTGAGTAACCAAAAATTTTAAGTAACATAATATTCGCTAGTATCAGTTTTGTGAGAGTTCTACCTTTTGAGCTAAATACCAACATGCCTCAATGTCCCTGAAGACTCAGTTCATTTGACAAAAACACTTGGTTTATGGGTTTGGCATCTTGATGCACTCCAACAGCACAGGTCAGAACCCCAGAGCATTTCACAGTGTAGGCTGACAACAGCATCCAAGGATTTATTTTAGGAGAAAAGAGCTAGTCAGGAATTGACTTGGGAAACACACATTCTGCTTACTTTTAAAATTCATTAATAGAATGGCTAGTAAACCAGGATACTCCTTAGGAAGAAACTGGTAAAGCATAAGGCTGCAGACACCTTAACCATGTGATTAAAACTAGCACCACAAGTAACGGCACAAGTAGATATCGTAAACCTTCTTGTTCAGAAAGATACATCTTTACTTCATTGCTATTCCTGCCCCAAATGCATAACCTAAATCTAATCATGAGAACGTGTCAGATAAATCCAAATTGAGGGAGGGACATTTTATGAAAGAACTGGTCTTTGCCCAGGTGCAGTAGCTCACACCTGTAATCCCACCACTTTGGGAAGTCAAGGTGAAGGTGGGCAGATTGGGTGAGCCTAGGAGGTCAAGATCAGCCTGGGCAACATGGCAAAATCCCATCTCTACAAAAAATATAATAAATTAGCTGGGCATGGTGGCTGTAGCCTATAGTCCCAGCTCCTCTGTAGGCTGAGGTGGGAGGATCACTTGAGCCTGGGAGGTGGAGGTTGCAGTGAGCTGAAATTGCACTGCTACAACACCCTGGCCTGGGTGACAGAGAGACCTTGTCTCAAAACAAACAAACAAAAAACAAAGTTTTACTCTTAAAAAATGTCAGTCAAGGTCATGAATAACAAGACTTGGGAACTATTTCAGATTAAAGTACATTAAAGATGTGATAATTCAATGCAACATGTGACCCTGAAATGGATCCTGTATTGGAACAGAGAATCCATTTTTTTCATTTTGCTCTAAAGGGATTAGAAGAATAGTAAAATAATAAGTAAAATAATATAGATCTTCTGATCTATATTTTAATAATAATATACTATAAAATAATAGTAAAATAATATACTATAAATAATAATATAGTATATTTTATAATAATATACTATAAAATAATAGTAAAATAATATAGATCTTCTGATCTATAGATATTATTAAATTTCCTGATTTTGATAATAAAAACTATGATTATATAAGGAAATGTCCCTGTTTTTTTTTTTTTTTTTTTAAAAAATGAAATTTTTTTTTTTTTTTTTTTAAAAAATAAACAGGTAGAAGTAAAGGGGCATCTACCTAAAACTTACTCTCAAATGTTTCAAAAAAATATATAAATGTGGTAAAATGTTAACACTTGAGGATTTGGATGAAGGGTACATGAGGCTTCCCTGTACTATTCTTGTAACTTCTATTTAAGTCTGAAATTAGTTTGGAAAAAAAAAAAAAAAAGAAAGCAAAAGGCTTACAAAACTATGACCCTTACTGATACTCAGTGTGAATGTCAAATACAGGCTGATATTATTTCAAACAAACAAACAGCAACAACAAAAATGTCCAAAGACTTGAGGAGCAATTTAAAGGACAAACTAAGATAAGAATATTGGGGAATCGCTACCTACTTTTTTTTTTTTTTTAAAACAAATAATATTTCAACAGATTAAAGGGAAACAAATCTTTGACAAGGGGCCAAGAAAGGCTAATGTCTTAAATAAATGGTGTTGGAAAATCTGAATATCCACATGCAAGAGAATGAAATTGGACCCTTATCTTATACAAAATCAACTTGAAATAGATTAAATACTTAAATGTAAAACCAGGAACCATAAAGCTCCTGGAAAAAAACATAGGGAAAAAACCTCCTTGACACTGGACTTGGATGATTTTTTTGGAAAGTATAGGCAAAAAAGCACAAGCAGCAAAATAAAAATAAGTGGGACATCAAATGAAAAACCTTCTACACAGCAGAGGAACAATCAACAAAATGAAAAGGTAACCTACTGAACAGGAGAAAATATTTCCAAACCATGTAATTGATAAGGGGTTAATATCCAAAATATATAGGGAACTCAACAGAACTCATCAGCAAAAAAACAAATAATCCATTTAGAAAATGGGCAAAGAACTAGAATAGACATTTTTTCAAAGAAGACATACAGATGGCCAACAGGTATCAGTAAAAGGGCTCAACCTCATTAATCATCAGGGAAATAGAAATCAAAACCATAATGAGGCCAAGCGTGGTGGCTTACTTGAGGCCAGGAGTTCGAGACCAGCTTGGCCAACATGGCAAAACCCTCTCTACTAAAAACACAAAAATTGGCCGGGTGTGGTGGTGAATACCTGTAATCCCAGCTATTCAGGAGGCTGCGGCACGAGAATTGCTTGAACGCGGGAGACAGGGTTGCGGTGAGCTGAGATCATGCCACTACATTCCACCCTGGGTGACAGAGCAAGACTCTGTCACGAACAACCAACCAACCAAACCATAATGAAATAATTACCTTAGACCTGTTTGGATGGCTGTTATCAAAAAGATAAGTGATAACAAGTTGGCAATGGTATGAAGAAAAGAGAACCCTGTACACTGATGGTGGGAATATAAATTAGTAAAGCCATCATAGGAAATACTGTGGACATCCCTCAAAAAATTAAAAATTGAACTACTATATGATCTAGCAATCCCACTACTGGGTATACATCCAAAGGAAAGGAAATTGGGCTGGGTGCGATGGCTCACACCTGTAATTCCAGCACTTTGGGAGGCCAAGGCAGGTGGATCACTTGACGTCAGGAGTTTGAGACCAGCCTGGCCAACATGGTGAAACTCCGTTTCTACTAAAAATACAAAAATTAGCTGGGTGTAGTGGCATGTGCCTCTAGTTCCAGCTACTTTGGAGGCTGAGGCAGGAGAATCAACTGAACCCAGGAGGCAGTGGTTGCAGCAAGCCGAGATCATGCCACTGCATTCCAGCTTGGGCAAAAGAGAGAGACTCTGTCTCCAAACAAACAACAAAAACCCAAAGGAAAAGAAATTGGTATGTTGGAAGAGAAATGTGCACTACTATATTCACTGCAACATAATCAATAATAGCCAAGATATGAAAATAACCTAAGTGTCTGTCAAAAGATGAATGCATGAAGAAAATATTGTAGGCCAGGTGCAGTGGCTCACACCTGTAATCCAAGTACTCTGGGAGGCGGAGGAAGGAGGATTGCTTGAGCCCAGGAGTTTGAGACTAGCCTGGTCAACATGGCGAGACCCTGTGTCTACAAAAATAAATAATCAGTCAGTGTGTGGTGTTGCACCCCTGTAGTCCCAGCTACTAAGGAAGCTAAAGAGGGAGAACTGCTTGAGTCCAGGAGGTTGAGACTGTAATGAGCCATGATCATGCCACTGTATTCCAGCCTGGGCAATGGAACAAGACCCTGTCTTGAAAATGAACAAAAAACCAAAAACAACACCAACAAACAAATACAACAAATGTATCAAATACGTGTCTGTGTCTGTGTGTGTGTCTGTGTGTGTGTGTGTGTGTGTATGTATATGGTATATATACATACAATGGAATATCTATTAGGCCATAAAAATGGAAATCCTATCATCTGCAACAACCAACATGAGTGAATGTGGAAGACATTATGCTATATGAAATAAGCCACACAGAAAAGGAAATACTGCATTTCATTTACATGTGGAATCTATAGAAGTAGACCTTTTTTTTTTTTTTTTTTTTT